TAGGGTCGGTAAGGAGAAAAAGCAGATCATTGGTGCAGGTATAGCCGGCATCTCCGACTTGGCTAGATAACCCGAGATCCTGGTTCTAAGGTCCGAGTTGGGCCGTGTTGGAGTTTGGACCTGAAGGTTATAGAGGGAATTTGGTTGGACTTGATGGACTTATGTCTTTATTCAACCTCAAATACTATGTAACTATGTAATGAAGTGTAGTACTCCCTGAAGACCCCAGCTATATCAGTAGTCTTACTCATCTTCATACCTGAGGGGGACAGTATCTCGAATATAAAGGACTGCACTCTCTGCTTCTGCAATACCCTGGCCAGTGGCCTGCTTCATTTGTCGCCCAATTCATAGAATACCCTTTTACATCTAATTAACATACCCTTGGCCTTAGCAAGACAGATTGAATGTAGCTGTTCACGGAGAGCCATCAGTTCACCAGGAACAGACTGGGCTATGGATTGTCTGTTTTATGTACCGATTCTAGGCAGGAGATGTCAGCCAAAAGGACTTCTATTTTGGTGGCATGCTGTTTTTTTTTAAGTCTAGCACCTATTTTAATAAAGGAGCCCCTGATGTATGCCTTGTGTGCTTCCCAGAGAATCATGGGATCGCATTCATCGGTGTCATTGCGTGCAAGATAATTGACCAGGTCAGTTTAAATCTCTGCGACTACGCTAGGGTCTTGTAGGATGGATTCGTTCAAGCGCCAGTTCCACGAACCACGCTCTGTTGGAAGCAGGTCAAAGTCAGGGATACTGGAGCGTGGTCCAATAAGGAAAAAACGCCAATGGATGCCCTCCGCACAACTGGTAGGTCCCGGTGGCCCACCAAGAATAGGACTATTCGTGAATACGAGCCATGGGGATTGGAGTAGAAGGTATAGTCGCGTTCTTTAGGGTGTAACAGACGTCAGATATCTACCAGGATATTTTGATCCTCCGGAGGGCAGAGTAGGAGAGGTAGGAAGCCGACCTAGAGCTATCCAAAGTAGGATCAAGCACCATATTAAAATCACCTCCCATGACCAGCACCCCTTCCGTGAATTCCCCTAGCTGTTCCAGGGTGGATTGCAAAAAAGGAACCTGGCCTACATTGGGCAAGTACACGTTGGCGAATGTGCATAGAGTTTGACCAATTCTGCCCTTCACAAAGCTGAACCTGCTCTCCTGGCTGTAACGGGCATCCACAAATTGCTACTGCACCGTCCTGTGCACCACAATACTAACCCCGTTTTACCCCTTTTACATTTACCATCAGGGGAGCCACAGTGGTAAGCATATGGGAAGCATTGGTCTTGAAATCAGGGAATTTTGGATACCGGAAAATGTGTTTCCTGAATAAAGCCTACCTGAGCCTGAGATGTTGGAATTCGTTAAGAACGACCGTTCTCTTCTCCGGAATGTTCAATCCTTTTAAGTTCCAGGACACCACGGCACAGGACACAGAGTGCATGGCCGGGCTCTCTGGACACACAGAAGTGAAGGAGTGACCCGCTAGGAGAGAACAAAGATATAAAAGGGAGGGGACGGGTAAGAGAGCAAAGAAAGAATGAGCAGAATGAAGGATCACTGATTCAGAGACTGGATCTGCCAGTAAGTAGAGGAGGGCCGTGGTTAGAGAGGGAGAAGCGAGAGATTGGAGAAAGCTACAAACAAGGACACTGACACACAAGTAACACAAATTAATGGGGTAACTACCCTAGAATATACCCACCCAAGGGATCTGTCCCCGTGGATGGGAAAACCTAAGTTAGGGTGTGGCTAAACAAATTGGGGTCCCACTCCACCCACCCAACCCCCCCAACTCCCGGCACCAGGACAGGACTTAATGGAGTGGTAAGCCACTCGTAACTTTAACTCGGAGTGATAAGCACCCATGGAATGAAACGGTAACAATTCTTAGTGAGGCAACAGGCATCAAAGACAAGTTGTAAGGACCACATTGCATAACTAAAGTAGTCCGGGGAAGCCACCGTTCCACCTCCGCTCCCACGGCCGCCATTTCCTCGCCTGCACCCAAGGGTACACATGATTTGGTGGCACACCAAATGTCACTCAAACAGACGGTACCAAAGAGGCAAAGAAGAAGAGGTGGACCTACCGGTCTTGCGTATCTGTCCACCTAACAAATTGGTCAGAACATGTCGTCACAGGGAAAAATCAGGTAGTTCTCAGCCCGAACATGCAGTGTCCCAAAGGATTCCGGGACACGGAGCCCGGTTTGTACAATATGTCGACCTGGGCTTCTGGAACCAAAAAATCTCTTCGGTCTCCCATGAGCACATCCCGGGCGACATATGCTGCTGCTCCAGTTAGCCGGGACTACCTTCAGCAAGGATGGTATTCTTACTGGACCTGGAGAGGTAAAGGGCGCAAACGGGATCACCGGCTGTCAAGGCTGGGTCCTGGGGTTCGTCAAGGTTCGCTGGCATTCCCCCTAGGGAATGCCAGCGAACCTTCTTCGGCGTTGTTGTTGAGATAGCCTTTGAGGCATGGCGTGGGGAGCCGGGCGTGGACCCTGTCTGGCATAGCCTCTCAGTAAATGTTGCAGCCAGTCGTGAACAGGGAAAGGCTCCAGTTCTAGAAATTAGAACATGGTAGGTAGATCCATCCGTTGTGGCAGGGCAAAGGTTGAGGCATTTTTTCGCATAACAAAGTGGAATGGGAATACCCACCTATAGACAATACCTGCTTCCCGCAGTCGGGTCAGGAGCGGACGCAGGATCATTCTCCTCTGCAGAGTCGCCCTGGAAAGGTCAGGCAAGATCCTCAATCGAAATCAAGAGGCCCTTGAGACCATATTTTGCGAGGTATTTCTTCCTTGATCGGGAATTTCTGTAACCTGCAAACAATGTCACAGGGCCGATCCGGATCATCGGAGATGTGGACCCTGTGAGCATGGTCTATTTCAATTACCGTATTGGGCGGGTTACCCAGCAGGGAGTTAAAGATCGCCACAACCGTGTCATGAACGTTTTCTGGTCTGGTAGCCTCTGGGATGCCTCCTCAAATTGTTGCGTCAGTTTTTATCCTCCATATCCTCAATATGGAGTTGCATGTCAGATAGCATAGCGGAATAGATATCCCTGGATTCTTCCAGGCCCTTCTGTCTCACTGCCATGGCCGCTGAGGTCGTCTCATCACCTTCGACCCTTGTAGTCAGCTACGAGACTTCCTGCCGCATGTCTTGAATATCACGACTATGCGTCTCTTCAATTTTCGCCACCAGTGCCTCAATATCTGCCTTGGTGGGCAGCAGATGCAAAATGGCCCCTATATCCAGCTCTGCAGGGGGTTGGGGTACATCTGACTTCCTGGGCTGCATGCCTCCCTCCAGCCCAACCATAGGAGATCCCCACATGACTGCTTCTTGGGTCACCAACTCAGGGGATGAGGGTGGAGGGGGCCGGGAAGCGGTCAGCGACCCACGCGCGAACGGTGCCGGCCGAGCCCCACTACTTGAGGCCGCTGCTTTTTCGGGGCCTACACCCACGATCGTTGGAGCCGCAGGAGTGAAGAAATTTTGCAGCTCACCCGGAGCCTGAGGTCTAGGCGTGTCGGACGTCGTCTTCTACTGAGTTTTGCTAATTTCTGATGTAGGTAGGTGCTATTTTCTGTCCTGGAAGTGGAGTGGTGCGGGAGAGCAGATAAAAGAATGTGTTCACTCCGCCATGGCTAGGACACACCCCATCGAAGGTGTCTTTTAATAAGTCCCACCGTAAGCCTAGACTTCTGTGTACGGGTGGCATGTCCATTCCCAGATTTAAGTCTTTAAATCCTGTGGCATGATCGCCAGTCTGAAAGGCTTTCATAACAGCAGCACTGTTTGAAGCAATCTTGTGTCGTCTGAGATTGGCCTCAGAAAGCATACCTTCAGTCTTATGATTTGAGTCCATCGTCCACACAGAAGACTCTCTCGACGAAGTGTCGAGCATCTGCACTATACTCTTTTTCGCCATCAGTCTTTCGTAGACCATATGTTGCAACAGCAGGTGAGGGACTATTTCCGAAGACATACATCTTAATGCGATATTCAATCATTTCATTGTTTATATTGTTGTCCTAGTGCCACAGAAACCTTAGGAAGTTCCTATGGTCTTCTCGTAAAATAAAGCAATTAAAAATTTGTTTAATGTCAGTAGTTATGGAAATTGACTCTCTTCTGAGCCTCATAAGTATACCTACAAGGTTGTTGGTTAAGTTAGAACCAGTGAGAAGAACATCATTCAGGAATACACCTTGATGCTTGGCACTGGAGTCGAACACTACTTTTAATTTGTTTTGGTTTACATGGATTTACACTACATTACATGTATTACATCTATTACATGGTTTACACTAGGAAGAAAGGCATAAATCAGCACTCGTCATGTTCTTGAAGAGGTGGAGCTTGCTTGGCATGATCATTGTCAAAGATCCTTTTCATAAAAGCAATGAAATGGTCATTCATTTCAGGCCTGGTCTTTAGTGTTCGCTGAAGTGAGCTAAATGGATAAAGCCTGTTCACGATTGGTAGTCTGACTCTTGCAGAACGAAGAGGTAATGGTGCAACCCAGCTGTTACTTATCCTTGAAGAATTGATTGTCCATTATTGGGATGAACTCTCTAACTGACAACAATTTTGTTGAAATCACATGTAGTACAAAACACTGTGTTACCTAAGTTATCATCACAGAGAATAGGAGTAACATCAGGTACTTGGATGATGTCAAGAGGCTTCTCCTTTACTTTATAATGGTGGGGGCACTGTTTGAAGTGAGATGCACGTCCATTTCTTAACACGTGAGTTTTGAAGGAGTTGAGCTCCGATGGTGTACTCATTCCATTCAAGCATGCATCCACTATTAACCAGCCTAGATCAAGTTTTTGTGCATAAGGGGCATTGTCAGGTCCAGAGCACTGCTGGCGTACTTTATGTACTCTGAGAATGTCTCTTCCTGGCAAGACTAAGATTTCGTTTTAACCAGGGATCTGTTGCTCTGTTAATCTATTATGACATACATCCTGGTAGCTTTCTCAGGTTGACCCTCTGGGTATATCTTGACTAGGCATACCTTGTGGCACAGCATTTGTGACTTAAGCCTTCTCCATAGACCAGTACATGAAGAAGAAACAATTGTATGACTTGCATGACTTTGTTGCTTCCCGCCATGATTTGAGGCAGGGCTGGATGTAGGTGGCTGCTGTAGATTGTCTGGAAGTGGACCAGGATGCATAGCTGTTACATGTTTGTCACTACTGCATTCTGTGCACTTGATGACAACTTTACAGTCTTTAGCAAAATGATCATAGGAAGCAGTTTCTGGAGAATCTCCCTGCGCTGTTGTAAAGGCTTTGCCCTAAACCTACAACATTTCTTAAGAGGGTGAGGTCCCTGCTTTTGCTACAGGTTTAGATTTCGATTGCTTTTTATCTGTCCTGTCAATGGTGGAGTCCAATGCTATATTGGAGTCTCCAGCGCAAACAATTATGCCTTCAAAATGTGGTGACAGGGTTTTGAGCATAGAGATGAAGAAATGTATCTGAGCTGTATTCGGCGCATAATATGATATAAAGGTAAATAATTGTTTATCAATGTGTCCTTTTATCAATATATATCGACCTTCTGGATCTCTAATTTCTAGCATGGATGTGAAGACTACTTTATCAGAAAAGCAAATAGCTACCCCTTTTCTTCTCTCCTTTGCACTTGCCAGGTGGAATCTCGGGAAATGTTTATGGAGGGAGGAGGGGGGCTAGAGGCTAAAAAGTGAGTCTCCTGTAGGAATAGCATGTCAATATGGCAAGAATGGTAATTTTGAAAGGCCTTCTTTCTCTTAACCAAGATATTCAGGCCCTGGGTATTATGGGAGGCTAGAGTTAGAGATTTAGTACCTGCGTTTGGTGTCATTAAAATTACAAATACTTATATTTAGGCTACATAATCTCCTCCCACCTTGCAATTGGTATACCCCGATAGAGGGTTTTTGGAACCATTTGGAAACTACTGGGAATATATCTATAAGCATTTTGAGGAACAAATACAATAATGGCAAAGAAAGAAAAAAGGAAAAAAAATAACAAAAACAAAAATACACATAACACAAAAATCAAACCCACAATCAATCAGGAGAGATTCTCCCTCCTCCATGTCAACTTTCTCAGACAACCTAAGTTGAGTGAGAGTTTGGTCTGGACCCAGGATTGTTCCCTGGATCTAGATCAAACAAGGGCGTCTGGCCTACTGCGGCGGGCAGCGGACTCCTTCTGCTAGACAGTTATATGTAAATAGCAAAAACATAAATCATGGCATTTGAGATGTAAAGCTCAATTATCAGCGGTTTCTCCAGAGACTACCAAATTCGATAGTGTCCTTCTGTGTGCTTTTTTCCATAGTGGGGAGACAGAAGGTTTCCCCTGACCTTGTCATGAGGTGTGAACCAATGACTCTTTTTCCAAAAGATCAATCCCTAAATGTGTCAGCAATTTTTCACCTTCTCCTAAGGTCTTAATGGAATATGATTGGTCTTTATAGAAAAACAACAGGCGGAAAGGGAAGGCCCACCTATATTTAACACCCCGTTTAGTCAAGGCTTCCAAAAGTGGTTTCAGGGAGCGTCTTTTTTGAATGGTCGCAGGGGATATATCTGCAAATAATTGTACTGGGTGATTCATCATGAATAGCTCTGATGCCCCTCTAGCTTCCTGCATTATTGATTCTTTAATCCGAAAAAAATGGGTATTAACGATAATGTCTCTAGCGAAGCGCTCAAAACGTATAGATGTTGTCACTCGGTGTACTCTATCCAATTCCAATTCTGCTTTTGTTATGCCTGGTATTAGGTCTTTGATAAAGGATTGGACAGCAGGAACTAGATCAACAATGGATTCCGGGACACCTCTGATCCGAAAGTTATGGCGTCTTGATCTGTTTTCAAGATCGTCGATTTTTGGATAGTGCCTCCTCTAATTGGCTCTGTAGTTCTTGAATAGAAGAGGCATTATTATTAGCACAGGTTATCGTTGAATCTAATTTCTTTTCAATTGATTCTATGCGAGTTCCCAAATCTCTTAAATCGCTTCTGATATCTGTAGTGATTTTCTTAGCCATAGAGGAAAGACCGCATTCAAGCATATTTGAAAATCGTATAAGTATATCAGGGTTTTGTGGAAAGTCTTGCAAAGAATTAACACTATCCTGCACATCACTTTCATGTAGTTCAGAACTAGAGGGATGAAATAAAGGAAATCTCATACTTGCCCCTGTATGTTCTAACGGAGATAGGTTGGATGCTGGTGATCTTAAGACTGGGGATCTGTGGTCCGTGTGTTCTCCCTCTGATTGTGCTGTGGAAGAGTGACTTTGATCTGCATCTTTAACTTCCCCCTCAAGGGAGAGATCCGCGTTGGGTTCTGTGTGTTCCTGCTTTTGCTTGATGCTGTCTTCCTTCCCTGCTTCCATTTGTTGGGCTGCCTTTTTGGAGCGATTTTTAGCCCCTTTCTGCTTGCCTCCTGCCATCGAGGCTATCTTATCCGCCCGTCGCTACTGCGCTACTGTGCCGCTTTCACCTCTGTCTCTCTCTGTCCTTCCTCCGGTGCTGCCGATTCAAGAGTTACGGTCACGGAGAGGAGTCAGCGCCCGCCGTGTTTCAAGGCACCCGGCTCACGCGTCCATTACGGATGACGTCACGGACACCTCGCGCATGCGCCCTGTTCATGTTCTCGGTGGTATGTCATATGATGGAAAGGCATGTGCATCATAGTTCGGGCCTTCAGGGCAGATATTCCCATGAGCAATGTGGAAGATATGATACAAGGAGTATAGGAGCAAAACAACAAAAAAGAAAAGAAAAAAAAGAGAGGGGTGGGGAAGGAAGCAAGAAAAAAGGGGCAGAAGGAAAGAGATTTTCTCAGTTAGGCCATAACTCTCAGTTGCTCATTGCCAATATTCAGCAGAATTGAGGAATTCAGTCCAGTAGTACCATGTGGAGGAAAATCTGGACATTGTTCCCTTTTATTGAGCTAGTGAGATCCTCCATATGTCTAATGTCATATACCCATTGGAGCCACTGTCGAATAGTTGGAGGTGAGGACTGCTTCCACAAAAGGGGGATACAAGCCCTTGCCACATTCACTAAGTGGATCAGGATAGACCGTCTATAAGCCCTTCAGGGGGCGGTGATTGTGGTGCAGCAAGAAAAAGGCTGGGTCCAAAGGTATTGGTCTGTCGGTGAACTTCTGCATTATGTCTCTAACCTGGGTCCAAAAGTTCAAGAGCAATGGGCAGTACCAAAATACATGGTATATATCAGCCATTTTCCTGGTATCTATTGGATATCGAGGACCCCCAGGGAGAGTTGTAGGATCCTAAATCTCTCAGTTGAGGTGAACTGAACCCCCCAGGACTCTCTCCCACATCTCGAGGAAAGGTAAAGGCTGATCGAGGTCTGGGAGAATAAGCAATTTATAGCAAAGGTGAGGGTGAGGTTTGAGGATTTTTATAAATAGGGCACCTACGATTAGGGTCTTTTTATCTCCATCACCCGAAACACTTTTTAACAGATACTGCTCTATTTAAGTCTCTACATTTAGCTGCTGTGCTATCATACCTTGATGATGATGAAGCAGCCAAGCTGGATTCACTGAAGCTGGGATAATTTCTCTTACAGGCTTGATCACTGATGAACCTGCAAAACTATGAGAAAAGAGGAAAAGATGCATTATAGTCTCTCTTGTATTTTGAACTCTGTTGCGCCCATTTCTCTTGCAGGTTGTATGGCAGTTTAGACACCACTGGATTCATGCTAAGAGTGGTGTCCAGGAAGCTCTTAGTCCAGGTAGACTTGGGTCTGTCTTTGCCAACTCTAGCTCCAATAGGAGGTTACTTAGTTCTTGGAGCTTGAGTTGATCTTTGTTACCTATTTTTGGAACGTTTTGCAGTCTCTTGAATAAAGCACTTTCTTTGGCTTCAGAGCTACCATAGGTTTGCTCAAGTCTTGCCCATGCAGCAGCAAGATCTGCATCTGGGAAGCCAACATGTACTGCTCTCAGTCTTGCAGATCTGCAGATTTTGGCACCAGCCACTTTAAGAGCAAATCAAGTTCCTCCTTGGCAGTAAGGTTAAGATCGGCAATTGCAGCTTTAAAGGATGTTCTCCAGGCCCTGAAGTTCTCTTGCCAATCGTCGAACCTTGAGAGGCTAATGTTAATGAGATTTTGGCATCATATATCTGGCGAAGTCATCATATATCTGGCACCAAAGTAACTTGTGGAACCCCTTGGGCGTGAAAGTTCTCTGGTGAAGAAGGGTGAGGTATAGAAGGATAAAATGATGTTGCAAAAGTGTTTAGCTGTAGTGTAGTCTCTGAGGCTTCTGCTGGGTGTACCTTGAACTGTGGCTTGTCGCTGGGAGTCAACTTGTTGTTGGCAGGAGGTGATGTGGTTTGCTGTGTAGATGCACTTGCATGATGGACTTGAAGAGGTTCAGGCAATTGCAGCTTAGAGGTCTCTATATTGAGAGCAAGAACAGTGTTGTTAGTAGGACGTACAGGAGATGGCTCTGTATTGTTGCAAACATTATGCTTTAGCACATATTTATTGGTACGCTCAACTGGGTCTTCCAGTTCTGCTGGGATAGAACAGTCCGAATTAGTACTTTGTCCCATGGCTTGTTCAAGGGCTTTTAGCCTTGCTAGGGCAGCTGCTTCTTCCTTTTCCATTTGGAGAATCTTTATTTGAGTTTTCATTTGAGCTTCTGCCTCTGCTTCACGAATTTATTAAATGCAGCAGGTTACAGCAGACAACAGGATGTAGCAGATGATTAGAAAGATGGTATTTGCAGGTGAAAATATGGAACTGTTTCCCCCCATGTGAGCAGATTGACATGTGTCCATGACACAAGCAACCATTTTGATGCCAGATGAGAATGTGAGAACAAGGGAAGTACATCACACACAAGGGGCACAAGGGGAGGGAGTATAAAAAAACATGGTGCAATAACCAAAATGATCACAAGATGGCAGTGTATTAACCAGCTATACTGGTAATATGCTAGTAATGCTTAAGGAAATTAACTATGTAAATTCTCAGTTCACATTAATATGAGTA